GCACACTGTTGGAGCTGCTAGCGGTACAAGTACTGGAGGTCTTATGGGTCTCTGGCATTTTTTCCTTCAGAGAGGAGCATTTCGCCACCCATTGCCGTCTAATGTGATCGTACTGTGTTTCCCGGTGAGGTTTGTACTGGTGCTTGCCGAAGTCGAGATGGCTGACAAAGTAGTGGTTAGAGCGGTAGACTTTAGTACACCCTTCCTCAGGAAATGAAAACGAGGCGCTTGCAGTTACGTTCCCCCACATCTTTCGCTGATGGTGGATTTCTCGACTGAGAGGCTGGCTTTTTCAACGCACCTTTTGCGGTGTCTGGTGCGCGAAAAGGCTCTAAAACCTTCATACCTGTCACCTGCTGCGTTGACTCCATGGTAAAAGCCTTTTTCCGAGATCCTACCTCCACAATAAAATGCGCAAACAATTCATTTTAGTTTATCGCGCGTGCGAATAATTTAAATCAAAAGTTTTCAGCTCCCCCTCCACCATCCCCAAACATTTGGGGTGAACAATGGACCGTCCCTTATAATGGTAGGGAAGAATTTCTGGTGCTCTACAAGACTGGAAATATGTACACCCGGCATTGTTTCGGTCATAATATTGTATGTAAGTGCACGACGCAAGAACATTTTTCAGTTACCGATATATAGTTTGACGGAGATAAGTACGCTTTTATTCCAACCAAGCTTTCCTAAAAATTACATCCATAATGCTTTGCCCACTTCGAAACTGTCGATGTCCACAAGTTTTTTAATCATTTTATATTTATTTAGCCGGTCTTACGCTTACATGATCAATTTAATGTTGCAGGTGCAACAGTTAAAATACTTACTTGTACCCTGACAGAACATTACTTCGCTAAAGGGAGGGGGGGGGGGAAGAAAAAATCGTTTTGCGGCAAAAAACTTATTATTTTCTTTTATGCAGCAGCAAAATAATTATTTGGAGGGTTGCTTATAATTTCGGTTTATTGCGCTTGCAAATAAATCATTTCTGTATTTACGGTTCTGCAAACAATTGATTTCAAATCTTCCATTCTCCTACGTATACCCCACTTGCAAATAGAGTATAGTATACATACCACTGGCACTCGCTGCCAGGACTTTTCGAAATGAAAACTGTATATGATATGTTGCCTTATTGTTGCATAAAAGCCTAGCCTAAGACAAAATTCATTGGGATGACTACCGGTTTAGAAAAGCACTAATATTTGGGTGACCCTAAAAGCCGTGACGGTGGAGCGACGGAATGGCGGAATGGCGGAAAATGACCTCAAATCCTGTAACATGGAACGGCGGAAAATGACCTTAAATCTAAAACACGGAACGGCGGAAAATGACCCCAAATCCTAAAACACGGAATCGCGGAAAATGACCCCAAATTCTAAAACACGGAATGGATGTCGCCAAGTTGCACTTATTTTGTACAAAGACACTGAAGTGCTTGGTTCATTCATCCCCACGACGATAACGCGCGTGACTAAAATCAAGTATTATTAATTTGTTTTCTTTTACTGACTGGTATGAATAACTTCAAAAGGAAACAAACGAATTAGTAATCACTTCTGTGTATTATTTTAATGACTGTTTCCTTTGTTTTCAACCTTTATACATGAAAGATTGCTACGTTTTCGCGTTGTAAGCCTGTTTAGTTACCTTTCGTATGCTAATTTTTCCATGAGTTTAAGTCGCGGCATAAAAAGTCGCACAGCATGTGAAAAGTAACTAGACATACCAGATTACAATAAACAATTGTAATTTTGATACATTTCCTGGTAAGGCCTGCATTGATTTAATGAAACAAAAATATCCTCAAACGCTTGTAAATGTGAGAACATCACGGGAACGTTTTCAGGCTTCTCAAAATATAACGACGCTCAGCCCCAGCTCCAAACTTAGACTAGGGCGAGAGGAAGCCCTCGTTAGGAGCCCTTCAATACGAGCGTTTCTTCGTCCACGAATAAGTTTGGGCCTTGAGTAACACTAGGTGAAGAGAGCTTTGTAGGGGGTCATACGCGTGGGAATTTCTCATGGCGTGAAAAGACAAAAGAAAGTCAGCAGAAGGAAGCCCTCAAGAAGAATTTGAAGAATTTCTTCGCGACCAGGTGTCCAAAACACCACCATCCTACTATTAAACTTACGACTTAGACATCAGCGGAAGAATTAAACTTTCTGGAAAAAAATGAGGCTATTTCACTACTTCGTTTAGCAGATTTCTTCTGTTCCTCAACAAATTGCAAATCGTCAACTCTATGGTCATGAGAAATTCCTGGTTTTCGTTGAATTTGTAATTTTGATCTCATGAATATAGATTGAATTTAAACAGAATTGCCTAAAATACTGTCACCTGAACCCTTTAAAGTTGTAAGCATTTTTTTAAAGACCTAGTGAAATACTTAAGAGTGACCAGCGTCTAATTTCTCCTTACAAAATCACCCCTCAATCACACATTAAGTTCACAGGAATGAAAGTACTGATCACCAAGTGAAAAAGCTCTTGATTGTTGAACAAATTCTCCTTGTCAGCACCTTGGGAAATGTATAGAGAACAGTATGCAGAATATGCATGCTGATGTTACTGTAGATCCTTTGGTTAAGGATCTGCATTTATTCTAAGGTGCAGTACCTTGTCAAAACCACTTAAGAGAATGGATCGTACCAAAACAGTTACATCAAGCTTGATCCAAGCTAAAAACCCTGCACATTCCATAGCAACGTACGTTATTGCTGCGATGATGATAGTCTTGCCTGGACTGTTTTCTAATGAGAATCATCGCTGGAAAATAAACAGAGGATGAAAGATGTCAATTATCTGGACTTAAAAAAGAAAAGGAGAGACAGGGCGTGACACTAATGGTAGCCAACTAGCCACTGACTAGATTGGTAGAAATTCAGTTTTGGCTCTTGGTTTTGGAATTTCCACTGGCCGGTTTGGCTAGTAGATAAACTGAAATTGGTTTAACATCTAAGTTGTCACCAGCCACTTGACTAGTAATTTGAAAAGTTAGTTTTGAGCCCTGAGAGAGATGCACATTAGATGGTTTAGCCCTAACATCCGAGTGAGGGTAGTCCTGACAGGAATTGATGTCAGTAGTAATGACAGATGTTTCGAAAACCTTAACAGAAGTCATCATTAGACTCTGAAAATGACTACTGCGAAGGTTGTTGAAACATCCGTTGCTTCTACTAACAACAGTCCTACCCTCTTCCACACAATCAGATTACAGAACTGACATAAAAAACCACACATTAGGAGTGTGGCAGATTTAAGAGGGTTCTTTTTCTTGTTAACAACCTGTAATGAAAAAAATTTCATTCAACTAAAACACTTCATTACAAGATATCCTCACCCCAAAGCTTCACATCATTGTTGTTATATCAACCAACATCTCCCTTTTCCTTCTAATCTCCTCTCATTGCACTCATTATCATTATCACTGTTGTTATCATTGTTACTGCAATCCTCACCATCAAACTGAACATTATCATCATTATCAACTTTGGCATCATTTCCAATGTCACAACATGCTACACAGTCATATTTATGTACTATTTCATTACCTGGTGATGCCATATTCTCTTACTTCTGGAATGTCAGGATATAAAGGGCATAATTTGAATATATCAACAAAGTTGAAATGGTAAATTGGCCACCGTTACGATTATAGAAGTTAACGTTTCGAGCGTTGGCCCATCATCGGAGCGAATAGAGAAATTGTGGGTTGTGTGTACCTTTAAAGGCAGAAAAAGGAGCTATGTGATCGGTGGGAACATGGCAACGAGAAAAACACAAATAAATTAGTGGAATGAAAAGCGTTCGTTGATACCTGTGGGTTTTAGACTGCCGCTTTGAAATCTAAATCTAAATCTAAGTCTAAATCCCGAAGGTATCAACAAACGCTTTTCATTGCACTAATTAATTCGCATTTTTCTCGTTGCCATGTTCCCACCAATCACGTAGCTCCTTTTTCTGCCTTTAAAAGCACACACAACCCACAATTCCTCTATTCGCTCCGACGAAGGGCTAACGCTCGAAACGTCAGCTTTTATAATCGTAACGGTGGCCAATTTACCATTTCAACTTTGTTGATATATTCAAATTATTTCGTTACCCCCACTGACGCAGCCCCAAACAGTTTCTTTAGAAACTATCAACCTTTATTCGTTTATAAAGGGCATAGACCAGCAGCAAAAAGAATATGATGAGCTTTCATCTCTCCTTCCTTTTCTTTTTTGGTCAACAGTGTAAGTGATGGAAAGAAAAAATTGATACAGCCTTAAACTCAAAATTGAATGTTTTACGCTAGTTCTTAAAAATGTATTCGGTGGTTCAGATTGCATTTTCTTTAGGAGATTTAGTAGCAAGAGAATGAGTATTAGTAACAGGAGAATATTCTCCTAAACTGTAGAAAAAGTAACTCAGGCCTTCAGTGGAACAATGCTGCATAGAGGCCATTCCCCCATCCCTAACAAACACCCTGAATAAGATATACCAGGAACCCATCGATGGGAGGCTCCATCTCCACTGATTCTTTAAGTCAATCGTTTAAAGGGTAAATTTAGATTTAAAATGGCTTGTTCCCATGAAATGTATCATATTTCTGTTGGGTCAGTTGTAAATCATAAAAATTTTTTTTTTGTTTCGTTTGATGAAAAACAAGAGGATCATCATGGCTCTGTTTTGATTGGGTTTTAGAACTCAGAACCTCCCTGGAAGTCTCTCTGTTAATAGATGTACTCAGAAGAGGGTTGACTCCAGGGCTGAGTATGGGAGATAGAGGTTCCTGGCTGTACCCAACCTTGATTTTAGGGTCTCTAGCTTTCCTAATCCATAAAGCAAGTGAACTCAGGTAATAAAGATTGCCTGACACATTGTAAAATGAGATTGACGTGAAGAAAAATATAGATAGTACATTAAAGGATAAAATTTTATTTTAATACATGATGGTAGCGTAGGTTCTTACCTTGACAGTGTGAGCATCTTTAAGTTCTCCAATTCCATTTTTATATGAATGTGACCTTTTTATCTGGGAGTTCTACTCTGTAACCCCAGTTAAGGGACCCAATGTGATTCTGGGTAGAAAAAAAAACCATAGTTAACAAAACTTACATCAGGTGTTAATGAAGTGAAGTCACCGCAAAATATGGCAAAGGTAAATGAGTAAATCATCCATATACCTGAACACTTTCTTTCATTGTGGCCCAGTTGTGACTAACTAAAAGAAAAAAGAAATAGCTTAAATATAACTTGTAGTTTAAAGGCCAACTGGGAGGGAGAGAGAAAAAAAGGACAGGAAAGAGTTCCAACCTTAGGCAAAAAAGAATCATAGGGAAAAAATTGATGGAAAATCTTTGACCCTTTCACTACCACAAGTGACTAAAGAGGAATGACCTCTTAAGTGACTTGAAGGAACAGGGCTTGACATTAACTTTTCAACTTCCTAGCCAAGTGGCTGGCGACAAGTTAGACGTTACGACAATTTCATTTCGTTTACTAGCCAAACTGGCTGGTGGAAATAAAAAACCACTTGCCAAATACTGAAATTCTACTAGTCTGTGGCTAGTTGGCTTGAGCCCTGAATACGATGAGGAAAAAATGCCTCCTGAGGGGCTTATTTGAATGAATACTAAACTATTTGACTCCTAAGGGTAATGAACATCTAACTTCTCCTTACAATGTCACCCCTTAATCAAACATTAAGGTCACAAGAAAAAAAAGATTATCGCCCACTAAAGAAGCTCTTAATTGTTAAAGAAATTCTCCTTGTCTGAACCTTGGGAAATGTAAAGAGAACAGCATGGAGAATATGCATAACTGATCTGAGGGTGTAACGGGCTGTAAGGAATCTATTCTAAGAGAAACGTGTACATGAACAAAATTAGAAGAAATCTATGGATCAATATGGAAGAGACCACAAGGAATCTACAGTGCAGTATATTGAGGTATTGGAAGTGAAAAAGTCAGATGAAGGTAAACAATTTGTATTCATTCTACACTACTGTAGTATTAATGTAGTTACCAGTTGTATCAAAACTCCATCCATATTCCCTTGCATCATCTAAGTCGTGTCCTATGAAAGATTAAAGTCATTTAGTCTATTATCTGAGAAGAAGTACAAGCTGATTATTGTAGACCTGATCTGACCAAGTACCTTTATAATATATGCTATGAGTGCAGGCCTGTTGAGAGGATGGGTGCAAGATGTGTGTATGCATCCTTCCCACCGGCTGTGAAAGTTTTTTTTCTAGATGGTGGTGATTTAAAAGAAAGAGAGTGGTTGATTTATTTGCCCAGATGCATTCAAGGAGGTTTGAGCTTGGCACACTAATCAAAGATCAAGCCCTAATTTCAATATGACCCTGGAAACCATTTAGAAATTTTCCAGGG